GAGTTAGTGTTCTCAGACATGTAATATTTGGGGTCACAAGTTTTTGCCATGAATATTTTGTGGGTCAGAAGATAAAAAGTTTGGGAACCTCTGCCATAGATAGACGGCACCCTTAGCATTCTCCTCTACTGCCTATATCTTGGGCCGGCCCTGGATACATGGTTCTCATTTGTCTTCAGAGAAAGAAATCAAACAAAACTTTTCACACGGTGACCTTACTGGCTGCACAGAACACTCTTGAGTTGGACGTGGACTCGTTTGGCACTCTGGGAATCACACACACAGTTCAGAAACCTGAGAGCTTCCCCCAACACAAACATCTCATCCTGTGTTTACTGACTGATCACAGAMGGATGGGGATACAACTCGTGTAGAACAGAACATGTTTGCTGTTGCGGTCTTCTCGATGCAGAGCTGGATTTGGCAGGAACCAGATGTGAACTGTTCTGGAACAGTTTGATAAAGCCAGGTTACAATTTGATTTGTATAATTTGCAGTTCRCGGCCTTGTACTGCGGCTGAATTATCCGGACAAGAGAAGATACTGCATAAATATCTCCTCTTCATTTTTAGGACTTGTTATTTTGTCGCACTGTAATGATGATGGCACCTGCATAAGTGGAATGAACATAAACGCACACAGCAAGCAACACAAAAGAATGGTCAGCTAATTTTTTACGTGTTTAGAGAGAAATAAAACAAACTAAACCCACAACTAACCCTGTTTTCAATAAACTGTAGAAAATTATACACAAAAAAACTGAAAACGGAGCAGAAATACAGACCAGAGTTATGCCACTTTCATTTTAACAAGACAGCTTTAAAGGTTGTGAAATAAGCCTGCTCCAGCTTTTTCTTTCTTTTTCTTTTTTTTAAACTGTTTTATTTTTATTTGAGTCTTGGATGAGTCTGTTTTTCTGGCTGTGTGGATCCATCAGATTCATTTAGTGAGCAGATTCATCACAAAAACACCACAAAGTATGTACAAAACAAGCAGCATCAAAACCAGAACTGTGCATGGAAGCAGGGCAGGAGACCCAGACTGAGGACTGGGGACACTTTTTTTATTATTTATGTCACAATTGTTAAGTCATACAAAGTTTGCAAAGAAGTGTTAAATTGAATTGGTGACAAGAAATACTCTAAAACAGTTGTTTTTTATACCTAACRTTAAATATGTCTCTATATATTCTGCTATAAACTCACATTCAGACTTTGAACAAGTTGTTTGAATTGTTTATCACAGAACCTAAAGCACAGCACAAAACACGCAAATACTATTTATTTGTTCCTTGATTCCTTTTTCCTGTCAAAGGTAGTTTTTGCGAACTAATGGTCATTTCTGTGTTCAAAACCAGTTCCCCATCGTCTTTAACTCTTGGATGGTCTCATGGGGGGTAAATAATCAGCCATTATATTTGTTGCATTTTTATTTTTGGTGTTGTCAATAAACACAAATAATTTAAAAAAAATTTTGTTTAACCTTGTCAGAATTGTTTTAAATGCTTCAGTGATCTCACAATGGTACCTTCTAGAGTTCCTGAGGGGATTAAAATAAACCTCATTGAAATCCATTATAAAGGAACCGTTTTTATTATATAAAATAATGCATATATTTCAGTATTGGGTTTTTTTTTTTCTTCTTCTTTTTCAACCTCCAACAACCGACACGTGCAAGTATGACTGCAAASAAAGCGTCATTTCCAGCTACTGGTTCTGAAGGGTCTAGTAGCCTGGAGGGTTTTCCCAAAACTCTGAATGGGATCCACTTGAAATCCTTCATAAATGAATTTTTCAATCACATATTTATCATATCAAAATATAATGCATAACTTTCAGTAATTTCTCCCCTTTTTACCTCTATCCTTCTGATTTATATATTTTAATATTATAATATTTATAATATTAAAAGTCATGAGGAGTCAGGCGCCCTGAGCTGGATTAAGGTTGGGCCAGGTCCTCCAGGGCCTTTCCCTGGAGGACCTGGAGGACCCTCTTACTTTTACATTTAACAGTATTTGTGTATCATTTAGTCAGTTGTTCTAGTTGTGATGAAACTCTGTTTCCATGCAGGAAGAACCATGCAGAGCTCAATTGTTTGTTAGCGGTGCTCAGCTGTAGCAGTGAGACGAGGAACATGATGTATTGTTCAGTCAAGGTTAAACAGGAAACATTGAAATTAATAACAACTGGCCCTTTGAGGGCCATCATAGTGCTCATGTGGCCCTCAGTGAAAATGAGTTTGACTCCCCTGCTGTAGGAAGTGAGTTTTTTAATTCAATCATTTAATCGTCTCTTTACATTAAGTGTTGCTGGTCCTCCACTGCTCTGATTTTCTCAGACCAAAACCCTAAATTAGTTAGATTAATGACTATAAATTGACTCTATAGRTGTGTGTGTTTATAAATGGTTGTTCGTGTCTCTGTAACGGACTTGTGATGAATCGTTTGGGTGAACCCCGCTTTTCGTTCAATATCTGCTGGAAGACATCAACTCCCTGAGACCAGGAAGAGGAAAATGTGTAAAAAATATTAATAGAAAACCCTGACCCTTGTCATAAGGAAGTAGCTTTCTGTGAAAGATGCATATCCTCTTCATATGATTTAGAAATTATTTTTTTCCATAAAGTTTCTCCTATAGAGCTCAGTTTGACCCATTGGGGGGTCTCCAAATCCCACCAAATTTGCTCGACTGTTTTTGCTTTACTTTAATAAACCACACATTTATCCAGGATTTGCTTTATTCAAACAGACAAAAATGCCAAATATTGTGCTTTACACATGGACTTAGTTTCCAGTATTTTAGATTTTGTTGAAAACTATTTACTTTATCTTAGGTGTTCAAGACATGACTGACAGTTGAAACTTTAGGATTACTACTGGAGTTTAGGGAGATAAATCCAAATCCTTTCAAAAAGCAAAATAAACCAAACTTTAGTTTAAGGATGTAATAACATTTAAAGTAGTATATGTACCGTACGTGTCCTTTAAGTATACTAATTTTAAACTAAAAATACAAGAGTATACTCTTAGTTAACCTTTTATGTACTCATCAGAAATATACTTAAAGTTTATGTTGGCTTATACTAAAATATACTAAAAGTGTACTTGGTAAATATAAGTACATTTGGGGAAATATACTTTATAATACTTAATGACACTGAGGTATACCTGTTTTTGATAAGACCAGGATGACTTTCATACAAGATATTTGATCAGTGACGTTGTCTTTTGTGTGGACCAATGTGAACATATAGTTTTTATTCAAAAGTTGTTAAACAATAAAATAAAAATCCACAGGATTTACTGAACACCGACAAGAATTAGTTTTTCAGAAAAGCAACAAAAATAACCAAAAGGCATTTTTTACAACAAGTGTAAAATACTGGCAGATAAACTTAAAGTTCTCATTTAAATATAAAAGTATTTTATGATAAACAAAAAGGAATTGTTGGCAAGAATKGAACAAATATAGTGAGTTTTTAACAACAAAAATTACTTTTCACACCCTCCAAAAAATAGCTTTTAGAATAAAAAAGACATACCTTAATATTTCACACACACACAAAAAAAAATGATTTGAAACTGATTACAATAATTCTGAGGGATGAATCTGATGCACATTTTAGCGTAGCTTTAGCACAAATGACAATGTATGTAAACCTTAGTAAATAATTGATGATTTTAAACCTGGTTTAGTTTTTCTTGTGGTTCTGTTTTGGAAATGAGCCCTGAAGTGATTCTATTGCTTTGTTTGGATTGACCTCGTAGTTCTAAACATCAGGAGTCCAGAGCCGGATTAAGGTTGGGCCAGGTCCTCCAGGGCCTTTCCCTCACAGCGCATGCAGTGATAACCCATTTTAGTTGTGACATTGAAGCAGCCCTGGCTGAGGTAGAAGTCCACAGATGACTTGTTCCAGTCCAGAACCGTAAAATTCAGCTGGTTGCAGCCGGCAGCTAGACCCAACTGTAGGCCACCAAAACAAAGAAACAAAAGGAGAAAAGTTTGCCGTCAAGAAAATTTTACTAAAATCATCTGAGACATGAACACATTACATTTTCAATTGTTCAGACTGGAACATAACCCGTTCCAAATTATCATTCAAATTGTTTTTAAGTGTTTCATACACACACACACACACACACACACACACACACACACA